AAAAACAAATAATTGTCTGTTTAGTACAGAGCTGATTAAATGCAGTCCCAGGGAACTTTTTCATGCATCATTTCCTGCTTGAACTTATTACAGTTTTTAGAGTTAGGTTGAAGTGAATGCTTGTTGCTGCTGGACCTGTTCTGCTGCCTTTGGAATTTGTGCGTGAACTTGAGGTGCTTGCAGGGGCTTCTAGAAAATCCTGTGTGGGAAATCTGTCCTTACTCAACCATGTGAAACAGGTAGTCAGAAAATTGGTTTATGTAATTTAAAAATTAATATTCCTTTCATCAGATGAAAATATCTTGCACCCCCACAGGGTGAATAGTTTTAAATGTGAACATATGAAAAGTAAAATTTAGGCACCATGTTGTCACTGACTGTTTATACTGTTAAGCATAACTTTTTTTGGATAAGTAATCTAGGCTTTAGCATAATTATCATAATGACAGTTTTAATCTAAAAATGTATCAGGGAAAAATCACAGTTTGGAACATAATGAGTTTTTGTCAATTCCAGTTACTTACCAAATTTTGTTCATAAGGTTACTTTCCCTCACTTATATCTAGATCAGGGCTATCAGGTCTCAGTCTTCTGGCTGATACTGACTTTGTCCAGGAATTCTGCATCAATGAAAAAGACCAGCCTTTAGTCCAGTATTCCTGGGCATTTCTGAGCTTGGTAGTGCTACTGGCTTCCATCGGGAGGCAAATGCACAGGCTGACCCTGCAGCCCTTACATGGGGAACCAGCTTGTGCGTGTGTTGCTTGCACAGTGTGTCAGACTCCAATGCAAGTGTGTTTCTGAAAACGCTGGATGACTGTGGATGGGGTTCTGATCATCCTAGATTGCTTCAGAAGTCTTGTCCAGGCTGGAACCTTGCTTACTATTTTGGACTACCTGGATGGAAAAGGGCAAGTTAGGGCTTCATGTTTGTGCCTCACTCAAGGATGAGAACTGAATGCCCCTGTTCGTGGAGTAGTCATACAGCTCTGTGTCCTGGATGGGTTCCTGCAGATAAATATCTTATGAGAAGTGCCAGGAACTTTCCAACAAGGAAGCAGGGTTTGGCATGTGATTCAAAACACATTGCAGGCTATAGAGCTTCGGTTGTCAGACAAGCTGCAGAGTACAGGGACAGTTGTTGTACAGATGTGGGTGTTGGGGAAGGCAGAACATGCACTGTTTTTATGCCTCAACATGATCAGGGAGCTATTTAGAATTGTGTTACAGCATCTGTCTAGATACGAGTCTGTTTGCGTGTAGATGGAGACCTTTCACCTTTTCCATCAATTTTAGAATTCTGGCTTATGCCATATTTGCATAACTGTGGTTTTGTTCTGTTTAATTTTTTTCTAGTATGCATTTTGAAATGGGTACTGTGGTCGTTTTGACCTTGTGGTCTGAAGGGCCCTTCCCTTCTAGCCAGCTGTAACTTTCTAAACTAGGTTTGGTTATGCTTCACTGAGATTTTTTTTCACAAGAAAGTTGCACTTTGTTTCCTCTGAAAGTTTCTTTGGTCTATTTTATGAAGGTCACGCACAACTAGAGTCAGGTTTCAGAGCTATGAGAAGAGTTTAGTTGCACCACAAGTGTTCTCCCACCCATGTTTGAGGATTGGTCACACTGAGTTACGAAGTACAGGAGAGAAAAGAACCATGTTTCCAGCCTCTGAGATACTATTGTTTCTAGCAAGATTTGTTCAGTATTGAATTTTTGTTTGCATGTGGCATAATGTATGATGAGGTGGCCTTTTCTCACCACCACCTCCAACCAATATATCGGCCATAATCCAGGGATATCAAAGATGAAAAGATGTGCTTCATTAACTACGTAGGGAACAAAAGAAAGATGGGAAATCGATCAGTGGGATGGGGGGCTTAGTTGTTCAGGATGTGGAAAGGACTTAGCTACTGAATGTCTCTTCTGCCTCAGCTGTTACTGTCAAGATTATTAAGGCTGGAGTAGGTTTTGCATGACTATTCTAATCAGTATTTGATTAAAACGATTCTATTAATAATGATTTTATGTTATGGCTTTTATACTACTTCTCCAAGTATGGCTTTTTTGCAGCAGGCCCTGAAGCTAACTTTTTTTTTCTTTAACAAGGCCCAAGCTCTGGTCTTCTTGACTCTGAGTTACCTGCCTGACTTGGCAACGAAGGTACTTTAGGCTTGCTGGTGAAAGATGACTTTTTTAATTGAAGAGTCTTTAGTGTGAAATGGTAACACAACACCCTCCAGAGGGGCATTGGCCAAGGCTTTTTTTTTTGTTTCTCTTGACAGGCAGGTTCTACTGAGGCTTAACTTCTTTCTTGTCCTTTTATTCTCAGTTATTGTCCTCCTAAGTTCCCAAGTTCTCAGTCTTTGGCAGGAGTCATAAAAGTGACAGCTCTTCACTGTCATCTTCATTCATAAGGGTACAGTTCTTCCACAATTCTTCCTTCTCTGTTGGTAGAATCAGGTTTGCCTTTCTGTGCCCATGCCATTCTCATGCTTCAGGGGAAAAAAGCTAGGCAAACAACCTTTTAACCTCTGAAGTAATAATGTAAGGTGTGTCAATTGATTTATTTGTGTTTTTCCATTTAAAATACCAAAATACCTTTGTGCATCTGCATTTTTAAATACATGCTGTATTCTCTGTAGATAACACCAAAAAAAAAATCAATCTGCAGGTTTCTGAAATGTGAATTATTGCCCTTCTGCATGAGTGTTGTGATGAGCTGAAGGTGACTAATGGTTGTGATCGTGTGTGCATATTTATGCTGCCCTGCTTAACTGTATTTTAAGCAGGAGCAGCATTCTGTTACTGCTATAGAAGCCAGTGGAAATGTGGGTTTAGTTATTACGGGAAATTATTCACACTGACAGTAGAATGGTGTGAAGATTTGTCAGAGACAAGTAACATGAACTTTTAGTAGCAACTACTTATAGAATCTTGCAAAGCTGACAAAGGAAATTCATATGTGTGAGATTTGGAATAGGAGTGGAGGAGAGCAGAAATAAGGTTGGTGCAGTAAGTGCATAGTTTATGTCCATAATTTTAACATCCTAGTACCTTAGCTATTTTACACATACATGCTCTTCCTGATGTTTTAACAAAAACAACAAAATATTTCAGAAGCTTCTTCTTCTGACTGCCGACTGCCTCCTGGTGTTTCTTTGTCTTTTCCCACAGATAGCTAATTTTAAACTTTATTTATGGAAAAGTAATTTATTTTGGAGGACAGCCCATTTGCACTAAACTTAGTACCAGTGGTGAACAACTGTTTTAACTCTTTTTAAAGATTGTAGTCCATTTCTGGGAAAGTGGGAAGCTGTGAATATAATAACCACCTTTTGATAGTCATTTGCTGCATGTAAAGTTCAGTTTTTTAACTTTCATGTTGTCCTTTTCGTCCCAGGTTAATCTGGGTTGAGTGATAGAAAAGTAAATTCCGTCCTTGTACATGCTCTTTGTGCAGTGAGACCTTTGGATTGTTTTGGGGAAAATTGCACCCTTTGGGGAAAGTGCTTCACCTGATGAATGCTGCATAGTAGCTGAGAGGCCATGAAAGGCAGCAGTTTAGATTATTCCATAGAAACTTGTAGGTGGAGTTTAGATAAGCAAATTCTAAGGTTTTTGATTCAATTATTACAGGCTAATATTACCCATGGGGTCCACACTGCTCTCAGGTGATTCATAGAGCTTATCACTGATTTCCTGTGTGCAGCTATTGTAAACTGTGGGGAAGGGTGGGCATTTTATTTGAGTCCCTTTACTTAGAGCCTTGCTGTGTGTTGCATGTGAATGGGGAGAGCAGGTTGGTGTTTCCATGAAGTGCCTGCCAGGAAGGATAGCAGCTGGTAATTGCCAGTGAGCCCTAAAAGCTTGGGAGTTCATCTTGGTAGTCCTGGGTCAGGCTCCCATACATTTTCCCAGTGATCAGCAAAATTCTCCAGAAGACACCAGGCCTAAACTAATGGAAATGTGGAGTTACTGTACTCCTTGTGCCTGTGATATCTCTCCAGTGTCTCATGTACTTTAGAGGCTGGCATAAAAACTTTTTCCATGTTTTTATGTTTCTTCTCTTTGATCTAGCCTGTTTCATGTGCATTGTCTTTAATCACTGCCTTTGCTTCACTTAGCCTCAGTTCTTGTTCTTCTCAGAGGCTGCAGTTTTCTTGTGTGTTTTCTATATCAGAGCTCACTTTTATTAAAATTTCATTCTTTCTTTGCTATGAAATGATAATAACAGCCCAAAGGAGTAGAGTGGTAACTGTAGTATGATTGCAGTGAAAAGCTGTATGAAAATGGAGCCCTTGAAAAGAGGGCAGGAGGTGGAATAGAGGATTGGCTCCTCACAGACATAATGCTTTTGAAAAATGGAACCTTTCCCTTAAAAAGCAGGAAGATTTTCCTCCTTCAGCTGTGTGAGAAAGGGAATACTGGACAAGGACCCTAAAAGTGTCCTGTCCAGGTGGTACTGACAGGCAGCAGATAAAGAACAATGATTTCTGGTACCAGTCAGGTGTTGTGGGTTTCACACTGCATCGTGCAGAGCAACGTAACATCAATAATACTGTCTTTCAGAAGAAAAGTTTATTTGTGCAGAGATTCATGTGGTTTTCATTTTGGATGGGCTTTACTCATAGCCAGCAGAATCTCTTTCTTTGCAGCTGTTGTTAATTTTGGTAGGAACAGAAGTAATAAAACCTGTGTATTGCTAGGCACTGTACACAGACATAACATGGTTGAGTGGTTGCACTTTCTGATCTGAAAAAAAGAAAAAGAAAGATTAAGAGAGAAGAACAAAACAGGGAAGTGATTTGCATAAAATCATGCAGCTGGTTTTTGGCTGAACTAAGACCAAAGATCATTGTCTTGGTTTCTGACAAGTTGTTCATACTTGCTGTTCCTTTTGTGTATTGTCATCACCTATTTTGTCAAATCTGTGAAGGTGCAGCAGTGGAGATGGTAGAAACTAATTTTCTCCTTCCTTTTTTCTTTTTTTTGTGGTCCAGGTTAAAGTCATATTTTGTGACATTTGAAGAGCAAACAATACTGTGGCTCCATGAATTGCAAAACTGCAGGAAGTGCAGCATCCCTCCCTACCTCCAGCTTTACTTCCCTACTGTGACGTTCTTATTGGGAGCTGTGGTTTCATCCCCGCTGGATATGCAGTGACTTGCCTCAGCATCAGAGCAGAGGAAGCTGTTTGTGGATCGGGGAAAGCCATGGCCTTGGGCTTGAATGTTTTTAACCTCTTCTATAAATTCAAAGTGTTGGTGCTTGTCACTTTATTTGTGATGGTGCTATGGACCACATTCAGTTACTTAGTGGACACCAGACAGGAAATTCCTAAAGCTAAGAGCATGGTGGAGTTTTTCAGGAAGGTAACTAGCCTGGAGCACAGTCAAAAGGAAGAGAAGACTGAATCCAATGCAGATGTTCCTGTGGTGAAGTCATTTCAGGATCCCTGCCCAGCTCTGTCTCCATACCTGCGTAAGTGATGGTGTTTTCCTCTCCTCTCTGACAAGTTAATCCACTGTAGTGCTGCTGACTTCCTAGCCATATTCCAGTTGGATACCTTTCCTGGGAAACCAATACAACCAGTTGCAGGAATCACTCCTGGGTGAGGGAGTGTCTTGTGGCACCCAGTGCCTGTGCTGGGTCTGGCTGGGAGAGCAGCTGATGCTGTGCTCTGCATTTGTTGATAAAACAGCTTTGGTAACACACCAGTAACTTGCCTTCTCTGTGCAGTGTTTGCACTCTCATGAGGCTTTGTCTGTTCTGGCCCCCTAAAATTCAGTGGAATGGGCAGGAGGCTGGGAGTGGACACAGCCAGGATTGCTGACCCCAGCTGACTGCAGGGGTATTCCATACCCTGTGACTGTGCCATTCATCGTGCTCAGCAGTAAAAGCTTGGGGAAAAGAGGAAGGAGGGATGTTCATGGTGGCAGCATTTGTCTTCCCAACATCTGCCGTATGTGCTGAAGCCCTGCTTCCCTGGACATGGCCAGACACCTGCCTGCCAATGGGGATTAGCAAAGGATTTTTTCTTTTTCCCTTGTTTACACGGGCATCTTTTTCTTTTTTTAAAAAAAATTATTTTTGTCTTAACCACAGGTGTTTTCATCTTTCCTCAGTTTTCTGCCTTTTTATTATTAAATATACTTTCGTGTCTCTGTATTAACAATTGAAGGACTTCACAACTCTGTTGGAGTTAGCACTAATTATGATGTTCAAATGGGTGACTGTTTTCTTGATTTGGGCATTTTTATTATTCTACTTTTTTCTTGACTCGGTACTGCTAGCAGCACCAGGCTCCTGATTTGCATCATTATCCTGTCATTATCTTCATTATCAGTATCATGTCATTATCTTCTTTCTCTTCCTTATTGTGAACCTGATTAGGGATTTGTTTGGGAAGCTAGACTCTTCCTTCTTCCCTGATGTGGTACAAAAACCTTCTGTCTCCCTGCACACCCTCACCCGGACCCCAAGACACATTTGATTAAGCAAATGCAGCAATGGCTGTAGCCATCACAGTTGCCTGTATCGTACTTTTTCATGGGCTTGCTGAGTCCACAGGAGCTGGGACTACAGCTCAGTGCAAGAGAAGGGATGAAAATTTCATTTGGCTGCAGAAAGCCTTGGTATGTTTTATCTTACTAGTTTATAGCCTTAAGCCTGTTGTGCTTTTTTTGTGCTTTAGGTACCAATGACTTCTCACAGCTGCAGTCCTCTGTCTCTTTCTACTTTCTTCTCCTTTGCTTTGCCCTGGCAGTCATTCCTGGCCAATCCTTCTGCAGTAGCTTAGATCTTCTCTTGGGTTTTTAAAAAATATTTTTATTTTATTGCTACTACTTTACAGTCAGTTTAAGCAGCTAACATGCTTGACATCCTCTCCTTCCACCTCCTGCATAGAATGCCTGTAGTACTACTTTTCTCTTGAAAGGGCAGGGAAGCCAGTTGGGGCTTGAACCTGGGTTTCTTAGACCGGTTACATGGTGCCTCATAACATGACTGGGCCAGCCACAACCTGAAATGACTCAGGAAAGGTTCTTGTGCTTCTCTTCCAGGAGGTGCCAGCAAACTCTCCTTCAAACCCTCTGTTACCCTGGAAGAGGTGCAAATGGAGAACCCTCAGGTAACCAAGGGCCGGTACCACCCTGTGGAGTGCTCAGCCCTGCAGCACGTGGCCATCCTTATCCCACACCGCAACCGGGAGAAGCATCTGCTGTACCTCCTGCAGCACCTCCACCCCTTCCTGCAAAGGCAGCAGCTGGATTATGGCATCTATGTCATTCACCAGGTGGGGCAGCTGTGCAGAGCTGTTTGGCTGAGGGTGACGGCTGTGCCCTGCAGCCTGAGGAGGGGCTTCTGCTGCCTCTGCTGTCTGACATGAGTTCTTCAAGTCTGCTTCCAACAATTCTGCTTGCTGAGGGAGGCAACACTGCCTGCAGCCACTGCTGGTGGCATTCCCGGGTCTCAGGGCTGGGGAGTATTGACAGTGTCTTTAACTGGTGTTAATTTCTCAGTCTAAGTAACTCGGTGTTTCTGAGTTAGCATGCAAGGTAAGCATCTTTTGCACTGCTAATGCAACTGACTTCTCTTGCAGTATCCACACAGGTAACTAGGCTGGCCTGCTCTGACTTCACATTGGGAATAGTTTGGATAGAAGGCCCCAGTTTCTGTTGCCCTTCTCTCCCATCAGGCTCTTGTGCTTAGTAAGTTGTGTGTATTGTGTAGTTTTACTTTTGCTTTCTCAAACTAAACACAACAGCTGCTGCTTGTAGCTGCTTTATTTGCCCAGCAAGTGCGGTGGGAAGTAGTCGTCATGGAAGAGCACTTGGTTCCTAAAGATTTATTAATTTCTTGATTTGCATTTTTTCTAGCAAGGCTGTTTCATTGGCTAAAACTTAAGCAGACCTGTGGCACGTTGTCTTTCATCAGGGTGCTTATATTCTAATTGCATGTGCTAAAAGCATTTTATATTTCTCTTTTGTAATATGTTGTCTTTTTCTTGATCTTCTGTTATGTTTGCTTTCTTTTACTGTTGTTTACTTATATATTCTGCTTTGGCTCCAAAAAGTCATTTGAGACAGCAGAAGAAAAAGGTGATAAATTAATACAGTTTCTCTTCCCTCCTGATTAAAGAGCCTAAAGTCAATTAATCAGTATGAGACAGTGCTTTCTAGGTGAAAGCTTCCACTCTTATGCTTCTGCTCAGCTGAATGTCTCAGCAGAACAGCAATAAAAGTCATGGCATGATATTTTTACTTGGAATGAATTGTTCTTTCATTGTTTAGAATCATCATGTGGCCTCTAGAGTGGAAAAATGAGGGCTTTTTTCCTGCATTAATATGTACTATAATCATACATTGACTGGCTCATTCTAGCAGGAAGCAGTGGTTAGGAATAAATTACTGGGAGAATAGGCATATCTTTTTAATTTATTGACATATGTGAAGTGGAGAACTGCTGTTTTCATGTTAGCAAAAAGTAATACAGAAGTATGGAAGTTTTGTCTGATGAGCATAGCAGTGTCAAGTCTGAACTTGTTCTATCAGAGATTGTGCTTGGAAGGTTGGAAGCTTTCACATAGCTTTTCCATGTAGATAGGCATGCCCAAAGGCTGGAAAGTGGGTCTAACAAAACTGTTCTGGGGCAAATCTGTTTTCTCTCTTGATTTGTGTTGTCATTAGTTGTTCTAAGTCTCTTTTGAGGAAAGACAATACACACTCTGCTTTGGAGGTAGATTAAATGGACCTTTTGTAATTTTTTCTGTGAGCCACTGGAGGGCTTACTCCAGATTTCTTCTTTAAGGGCTGCTTTTAACATCTCTAAAGTCGTGCTCCCCTAAATGTGTGCATACATGAGTGCTGCACTCAAAACAATGTGAGTTTGTAATCCCTAAAGGGTGAATAATTTCTTTCCCAACATAAGTTTGTCTTGTTGTCAGTGTTATTCTTCCACAGAAACAAAGGGAGACAATTCTGTCCTTGATAAAAGGTGGGTAAATTTTACTGTTTGTTCAGTATGTGGTCTGACATGGCAAACTTCCCTTCCTGGAAAGCCAAGTCTGCTGGCATTTGGCTGTTGTGGTGGCTTGCACTGATGAGGAAAACAGAACTTAAGCAGATGGAAGAGGCTGTCCTGAACTAAGCTGGATTTGATACTTAACACAAGTGATGTTCTCCAAATGTACCTTACCAGACACCTGATTAGTTCTGTTCACTCAATAACCTAGGTTTTCATCCTCAGGAGGAGGCTGTCTCATGGGTATTTTTATATACAGGACATTTTAAGAAAAACAAAACACACACAAAAAAATTCCATTCAGAAATTTGACATCCTGATTTTGGGTGAATTGTATCTAAATTTTTACTGTAAAATTTCTCTCCAGAGAATGGATGCAATTGATTATCCATCTTGTAATTTCTCAGAATGGGCACTGTGTTGTTTTTTTCAGACTGCAGGTATGGAGTCATAAATCCCATAAATCTTCTTCATTCTGGAACAGATGGTTGTTTTAGTGAACAAATCCTACTTTAGAGCAAAGTGTTACTTTTTAGAGCAATAAAACATGCTTTTTATACAACAGCTTTTCCCTGCGGCTCACCTTCTCAGCCTGGGGAGGCCAGCTTCTTTCTCATTTTTCATGGAACCTCTTTCGGTCCAGGCACCTTCTAGAAAAATTGCTGGAATTCCAAGCAGTTTTTCTTGACAACGTTTTTTTATTATTCTTTCAAGTACACAGGTTCCTTGCTCAGGAAAATGACTGTTCTGTCTGTGTCTGGGAGGGCCGGGGTTGGCCCTCTGGTTCCCAAGTGGGAACTTAAGGTAAATCTTCTCTTTGTCCTCAAGAGCAGAAAGCCTTCTGCAGACTGGTGCAGTGAGCAGCCAGGTAAAAAATGAAAATAGCAAGATAAGCACGTGTCTTGCTCCAGACTGAATGCTGACGTGATAAACTTAGAAAACTGCCAGGTGTGTGTGGATATACTTGCACCTCAGAGGTGAAAAACCAGATTTTTGAAAAGCGAATACTAAGTAACTCACAGCAAAAGCAAATGATGAAGACTAGTAAAAAGGTGAAGCTATGTGCTAGCAGCCTGCAACAGCATCATCAGGTTATAGGTAGGAGGTAAAAATGAAGAGACCTGCTTTTCACTCCCACTCTGCCACTTGTGTGTGAGCTGAGGAAATACAGGGAACTCTTTCAGCATTGCTGTTCCCCAAGCTGAGGGGACAGGTATAAATCATTCATGGCAAGGGCTCTGACATCTAGAGACTAATTAGCATGGGATTAACATGGGGGTTTGGTTTGGTTTTGCTTTTTTAAAAAAGAGCTTCCGTGAGCCTTACTGATGCAGTTGTATGGAACACCCGTTTCTAGACTGTACTGGTACCCCTTCTGTTGTGGAGCCTGATGGTAACTCCAGGACTGGGGCAGAAGGGTGGTTTAGCCATGGAGCAGTCTCAGCTGTGGTATCCATACTGTTTCCTGGCCCTGGCTGGGTGTGTTTGTGATGAGTGGAGGCTGGAGAAACACCTTTCACCGTTGGCCACTCCGACGCTGTGCCCACTGTGACGGGGCACTCTGTGCAGTTACTGCTCCCGAGGCGCTGCAAAAGCCACACGGGCGTAGTTGCAAACCATGCAACTGGAACACATGCCCAGGAGCAGCTCTGGTTCAAAAGCTGTGGCACCTACTTCAGAGTTGTTTTTTCCCATTCTTTTCCACAGGCTGGCAACACCAAATTTAATCGAGCCAAACTGCTGAATGTAGGATACCTAGAGGCCCTAAAGGAAGCAAGCTGGGACTGTTTCATTTTCCATGATGTGGATCTGGTGCCAGAAAATGACTTTAACATTTACATGTGTGACACACAACCAAAGCACCTTGTAGTTGGCAGGAACAATACTGGATACAGGTAAGAAACAAGGAACATGGAAAGAATACCAATAGGGAAATGCCATGTTACTGGTAATGTTCCTCTTCCGATGGAGCTGTGTGCTGGTATCTACCCTTCCTCATGACACAAGGTTTCTGGTGGTAACACTTCACCTCTCTGGAGTACAGAACTGGACAGGCACCTCTGCAGTCAGCCCTGTGGTCACCTGCACAAATGATCATTGTCATTGTTCTGGTTTCTGGAGTTGAATTAAAGGGCGTTTTGAGAGGAAAGCAATGTGCCAGAGGTTGTGCAGAGACCTTCTGGCAAAGCTAGTTACACATTTGCAAGTTTCCTGATCCTGTGATTTGTGGGAGTGATCTTACTGTAACAGAACTTGCCACTTACTTCTGCTGTTGAAGAGGTAATGTCCGATATTGAGAGCTCAAGTGTGGGAATTTGCCAAGGCATAGGGCTTTTAATTATTTGATTGAACAGTGTATAACACAGGATCACTCTGATTTTTAAATGAGTTCCCTAAGTGCTCATGTGATGCAAATAATTGAAAGTGAAAAGCCAAGTTCAGTACACCTCAGAGAGAAAAGGCTCCTGAGCTTGGTGAATTTAATGACTAAGAGTGTCTTCATTGAACTTGTTTCTTTCAAGATTCAGCTCATGTCACGTCACTCTAAATATTGATTAGAAATGGGCTTTTCAAAAGCTGATCTCAAAGTACTTTGAAGTAAAGCTCTGCTTTGCTTCTGTATTTCCTTTGTTAAATATATGAGGAAGAGGTGGGATGTGTCAATACTGACACAGAATAATATTCCTGTTCCAGTCATTTAGTGAAAACTGGAACAAGTGCATACGTACGAGGCTTGTGACAGGCATTTGGAACACTTGCAGAGCCTTGCATTTGGAACACTTGCAGAGCCTTGCAGAGTATTCCACTGGAATGGTGGTGGCTTGAATTTGATCATTCAACTTGAATTGATAACTAATACTTTTTCTGTGTCACTGCCTGTGTTTATGCATCCATGAAGTGGGGTTAATAATGCTCGGCTTCCAAGGCATGTCTGAAGGAATTCAGATTCTGAGCTCAAGAATGATACTTGGAACTGAGCTGATACCACAGATTGATACCAATCCTAGTTGGGTGACCTCAGTGTTTTGCTGCAGCTGAGGTGAGCATACTGAGACATATTGCCTAGCTAAGGTAGAGAAAACTGAACCCATCTATGTTCTGTATTAACACAAAATGTCCTGGGCAGAAATGTGGGTTGGTTTATGTTTTGTGGGATTTTTTAATGTTGGTTTTGGGGTGTTTTTTAGGGGAGATGGTGTTTTGTTGTTGTTTTGTTTTGTTTGTTTGTCTGGTTTTTGATTTTGGGGTTTTATTAGTTTCCTGGTGTGGGGTGGGGGGAATTATTTTTCTTCCAGGGAGCTATATTCTGTTGTAATGCAGTGTGCAGTAATCTCAGCAGCCATGTGCCTTTGGAGATCCAGTGCCTTATCTTTAGCTACATAAACTACAGCTCAGTTTTGGATTCTTTTAGACAGAAGACTTATATATATAAGTTTTGAAGATAAGATTGGGAAAACTCTTCTATTTTAATTAAGGTTTTTCCTTGAGACTAGCTCAACATCTTTTCCTCCTGACCATTCCTATTGTATGTATTCTTCAGTCCAATTTTAAGAATTCCAAAGGAGCTAATGTTCTCTTGTCCTCAGGGGAGGGGTGGTTGCAGGGGTTGTTACAGAGATGTATTTTTGCAGGTGATGTCAGCTGGGAGCAAGTTATGCCTGGGCCCTGCCAGTTCTGTGCTGCCTGAGGAAGGTTGAATGGGCAGCACTGTCCTAGTTACAGGATCACAGAATGTATGGGGTTGGAAGGGACCTCTGGGAATCATCCAGTCCAACCCCTCTGCCAAGGCAGGGTCAGCTAGAGCAGGTGACACAAGAACTCATCCAGGTAGGTTTGGAATGTCTCCAGAGAAGGAGAGTCCACAACCTCCCTAAGCAGCCTGTTCTAGTGCTCTGCCACCCTCCATGGAAAGATGTTCTTCCTCATGTTGAGGTGGAACTTTCTGTGTTTTAGTTTATGGCCTTGCTTTTCATCCTGTCAGTGGAAACCATTCAAGGGTCTGGCACTGTCCCCTTGACACCCACTTTGCAGATATGTACTTGTATTGATGAAATCCCCTCTCAGTTTTCTCTCCAGATTAAACAGGCCCAGCTCCTGCAGCCTCTTCTCATAAGAGAGATGCTCCAGACCCCTCATCATCCTTGTGGTCTCTGCTGGACCCTCTCCAGCAGTTCCTTGTCTTTCTTGAACTGTGGAGACCAGAACTGAACACAGCACTCCAGATGTGGCCCCTCTGGGGCTGAGTAGGGAGGAGAATCCTCCCCTCGTCCTGCTGGCCCCACTTCTCCCAGTGCACCCCAGCTCTGGCTCCTTTGGTGTCTGCCTCTGCAGTGGTGTAGGGGAATCACAGGGTGGATAGGCAAGCATGGGGTGTGTACATAGGTGTGTGCCTGGGAAGTCAGTTCCCAAATGGTCAGGCTGCTGGAATGGGATGTGGTCTTGTTGGTGACTGTCCTGAAAGCAGGGCTGGGGAGGGCTCTGCCTGCTGTTCCTGTTTATGGGACCTCCTTGCTGTCCATTCCATTTGTTTGCTGCGTTCCTCTGGAGTATCCATAGCATAAGTCTCAAGGTAGTAATGTGTAATTAAAACTTGATGGAACTTCCTCTACTCTGTGGCTTGTCTCCTCTGCAGTGGGGTGATAAAGGAGAGAGTACAAATCTGTTCACAAGTCAGCCTGACCAACCTGAGAGCCTTCTCTGATTTGACTAGCTTGGATGAGGGTGTAGTAGTGGATAATGTTTATCTTAGGAAGGCTTTCAGCACTGTCTCCCATAATGGCCCCACTGACAAAGTGATGAAGTACAGACTGGTAAGTGGACAGTGAGATGGGCTAAAACTGCCAGCACTGCTGGGCTCAAAGGGCTCTTATTAGTAGAGCAAAGTCCAGCTGGAGGCCAGTCACTAGTGGTTTACACCAGAGTTTGATACTGGGGCTGGTACTACTTAGAGTCTTCATCAGTAACCTGGAAGAATCTGCAGACTGCACCCTCAGCAGGTTTTCAGAGGACAGGAATCTCACAGCGTTGGTTTGTGTAGCAGGGCCTTTGTCAGGCTGGAGAATGTGGCCAGGAGGAGTCTGAACAGAGAAGTTCAACAAAGGGAAATGCAGTGTCCTGCACCTGGAGAGAAGTCACTCTGTGCACCAGTAGCTGCTGGAGGCCAGCTGTCTGGAAAGCAGCTTACCAGAAAGGACCTTGGGCCAGCAGTGTGCCCTTGTGACAAAGGCCAGTGGCATCTTGGGGGGGAGTTATCAGCAGGTTTTGGGGAGGTGATTGTTCCCTGCTACTCAGCGCCATGGAGGTGATACCTGGAGTACTGTGCCCAGTTCTGGGACACACTGGAGCAAGTCCAGAGGAGAGCCTGAGAACATGATTGAGGGAATGCAGCATCTGACATGTGATGGAGGCTCAGAGTGCTGGGGCTGTGTAGCAGAGAGAAGGCAGAGGGGGATCTTGGAAATGTGTATAGATACCTGATGGAAGGGAGTAAAGACTCTGGAGCCAGACCCTTCTCAGTGAAAGGCAAGTGGTAATGGGCACTACTGAAATACAGGAAATTCCACTTAAGCATATGAAAAAGGTTTTTGTTTTTTTTTTTTTTACTGTGAGGATTGTCAAATACTGGAACAGGCTTCCCAGACAAATTGAGGAGTCTCCATCCTTGAAGGTGTTCAGAATCTGACTGAACATGTTCCTCAGCAAGTTGCTCTAGCAGACCCTGTTCTGAGCAGAGGGGTTGGATTATGTGATCTCCAGGGGTCCCTTTGACATTCACAATTCCTCTGTGATGCTGTGAGCAAAAATCAGCCCAGAAAAATAGTCTTGAGGAAGGTTGTATTGAGTGTCTTGCGTTGATTTATTTTCTCCTTTGGTGTTTTTTAAATTATATTCATGGTAAGCCAGAAATAATAACAAGCACTGTCTGGCATGTCCAATGCCAAAATGTGTGCTTTCTAGCCCTGGCAATTTGTTTGTCTGTTTAGATTCACATACATGTACAAATGCAATCTGCAGCCATGTGCCCGTCACCTCTGAATGGGCTGGGGCAAGATAATAGAGCTTGTGTCGTACTTAAGGGCCAAGACAGAGGGCATCATAGAAAGCAATTAGCAGAATGGCCTAAGAAGACAAACAAACATGATATGCAAACATCTTTTAAAAGTAATGCATGTTTCAGGATGAGGAAGGTAAAAGTTAGAAATTAATCTCCTTTAGAGCTGAGCTCCATTGCATTGGGTTACTAAGTAACTTGCACTATACCTTACCTTGGAATTGTTATGGCACAGGAGCTCATGTGCTCTTGCCTGTGAGCTGATTTCTTTCCAAGTTTTTCAGACTCAGCTCTAAGATAATCAGTGGCTCGCTGTTGTTATTGCAGAGCTTCCACTATATTAGTGCATAGCTGTGTTGCTGTTCTATACCTGAGAGTCCCTGAAATGAAGTACCTGCTTGGCTGGCAGGGGAATTGTGTAAAGAGAGAGAAGCTTCTGAATAAGATTCCGTTCTCTCAGTTGGAGAGGTAATTTTTTCTGGCCTAAAGTAAGTCACCATCTTTTTGTGAAAAGAGGAAGAGAACAGGACCAGTTTTTAAGCATCTGTGCACCCTTAACTCTGTGAAAGACAAGTCTAGATCTGGAGTATCAGGGTGATGTTTTTTAATTGTTGATAGAATTTGACTTTTAATTTTTCATTCTCTCTTGTACGTCTAGGTTACGGTACCGGGGATATTTTGGAGGTGTAACTGCTCTTACAAGAGATCAGTTTTCCAAAGTAAATGGATTCTCTAACAACTACTGGGGTTGGGGTGGAGAAGATGATGACCTTCGAATCAGGTAAGCAATGAGGAACTAGTTTTAAGAAATTTTAAAAATGGACCCAACTTTGCACTAAGCCTCCAAGAGCAAAACACCCCAGGAGCGTTCATTCAGGACAGCATTGAACAGCAGTGCAGTGGAGATGTGAAGTCCAAGATGCAGTTCTGTGAGCAGTTTCCTCTTTGCAAGGGTTAGGTATGTCTGATGCCTAATCCTCTTCCTCACAGCACTTTTGGCTGGGTGTGGGTTAAGTTATTTGGTTGGTCTGACGTGGTTTTGTCTCAGACACACATTGTGTTCTTGCTTGGAAATTGGTTATAACTGAAGTCTGGAGTGTGGTTTGCCAGACATACAAATGTATGGAGTTCCAGTGCTTTGCTAGAATGTGGGAATGTTTTGGTGGCACTGGGTGTTTTGCATTCATTGACTACTGGATTTACTCCAAGTAGGTCTTAGTTTGTATTTGTGTAGTGTTGATTATAGTGAAGATAGCAAGTAACTAGAATTTAAAAAAGGCTACATATACCTGCATATGCCCTTTGCTCTTGTGAAAACACATTTTGCAGATGGGCCTGTCAAAGTAGGAGAAACCTGCTGGCTGGAGAGGTTTAGTGGGACAAAGAAGTCAACCAAACTTTTATGTTGATCTTTTGCCCTTTGCCTAGGAATAAACCTCTAATCCTGCATTGCTATTAGTAAATGGAGAAAAAACCACAAGCAAACAGCAGATAAGAACCCACACTCCACAAGCTCTGCTGGCAGAGCCTATCAGTTTGTAACTCGGTTTATACTCCATCATTTTTAAGTTGTTATCCTTTTCAGTTGCTTAAATATGCAAACAAACATTTTGGTGACATTAAATTTATATCCCTGCTGATGTTATGTAAATATAGAGAGGATTAAGTGTGTTAGAAGTTAGGAATTGCAAATGAAAAGTGTTTGTCAGTGTCAGTTCAGCAGATTGGTCAGCTCTGTCTGAAGAAACTGGAAAGGTCGGCTGCAGGTACAGATTTCTATCTCTTAATGACAACTATTTTTTCCTTCTTACTCCTGCCTATATGCACCAACTTCTTTGTGACCTCCTGGGAGCTGACTTTTATAGTTTAGGGGGTGGCTTGGTGCTATTTTATTTCCTGGCTTCCCACTGGTATAGTTCTTTCAGATACTCCCTTGGGCAGCAGAGAAGCAGCAGGAGAGTAGGTTTACTGAGGGTCTCTATGATGTTTGCAAGGGGTTGGAAACCAGTGATGTTTTTGTGTGGCTTTGCAGCTCTTGAGGTCTTGATGGGGAAGTCCTGACCCAGTGTGTGCTCTGCAGCTGGACTTTGCTTGTGCCTTGGGCTGGCCTGGTGACTGAGTTTGCAGGGGGAGCAATGGCAAGCTTGCTGTGGGGTGGGTTGTTGTGCACAGATCCTTGGAGCTTTCCCGAGGGAAGTCAGCAGATGGCAGCATCCCTTCGGTGCTCTCAGAATTCAGGGCCTGGGACACACATTCTGCGGATCTGCCTCTGGAACAAAGATGATGTGGTCTCGTTTGGGCCCCCTCCTAAGGCGTGTAACACAGAGAGATTCTTCAGATCATTTGTCGTAGTTGTTTGATAATTTACTGCTACAAAGTCACGGAAATTTGTAAGGGGCTCAATAGTTGTTTGATAATTTACTGCTACAAACTGTAAGGGGCTCAGTTTTTTCAAATCTTGGTTTCCTATTTTTCTTTCAGCTGATGAGTGACTAGCATAGACATGGACTATTTGTTAATTCCCTTGTCATAAAATTTCTTTCTTTCTGCTGTCAGGGCAAAGCTGTGCTCCACAGATGTGTAAGGTCAGAAACTCCAACTAAGCACCTGATGTCAGACCTTTAAATCCATGCAGAGGCTCAGTGCTTCTGGCATTGTTCTCAGAGAAATTTTCTTCATGTGAACAAATAAAAGTTTTGCAGCTGTCTGCCAGCTACTAAAAAATAAAACAAGCTTTTAATTTATTTTTGGGGAACTATCAGGTATAGGGGTTTTATTGCAGGGGTTGAGATGAACTTGTTGCAGAACATGTGGAAACGTGCTACAGGGCAGTACAGAGTAGTCCATATTGATATAAGGGCAGTCAATACTGATATAAATGTACTCTGTTGTATAATGAGTGCTTAAAACTCTACATCTCTACAGTAAGTAGTTACCTGCTTCTGTTCAAAAGACAGGTGTATCTGTCACCCCCCCAGACCTGTTCTCCAGGAATTCAACTCTGAGCCTCATTTCTCTGGCAAAATGTGTTGTGGAAGAGATGCGCATTAGCTCTTAAAACTCTTTGTGTTTACTTCCACAGCATCTACAAGAGATGAAGTCTCCAGCTGTTGGGTTTTTTTCATTAACAGCTGGTTTATAGGCGTTGCCTTCCTCACAACACTTCTTATTGCTTCTTGCAGGGTTGAGATGCAGAAGATGAAAGTGGTGAGGCCGCCTGCTGATGTGGCCAGGTACACGATGATCTTCCACAAGCGTGACCACGGTAACGAGGAGAATCGAGAGAGGTGGGTCAAGAACAGGTTTCTACCTCGCATTGTCATGGTCTGTGGCTGAGCCAGGCACCTGGGGGACAAGTTCTTTGCTCCAGGCCAAACAGGCTTCTTGTGGTGTCCAGAGGCTCTGGGGGACACCCCTGTGACAACACTGTTCACAGCTGGCAGCTGTTTTCTCTACATGAGATCTGCATAGAACTTGACTGGGTGTTCCCTAGAAACTTCCAAAATTACACTTACATAGGTATGATTAAAGCACAATTTCAGAGATTGACCTAAAGGATTTTTCTCTTCATATGTGATTGTGCTGAAAACAGGAACAACTTTATATTTCCAGTAGATAAAAAATAGCAGTAGCTTTGCTTCCAAACTTACTACCGTGGGGAAAGAGCTCAAAACTCCTGTGCATGTCAGTGAAGGTTTTTCTCCTCTTTGTCCTCAGGATGAAGCTTCTCCGTCAGGTCTCTAGAACATGGAAGACAGATGGCCTGAATTCCTGTTCCTATAAACTGCTCTCTGTGGAACACAACCCACTGTACATCAACATCACGGTGGACTTCAGTGTGCAGCCCAAGGTCTCATAGGAGCCAGCACCTCCCAAGTTAAGGGAAATGGCAACAGATCTCCTTTGTGGCTGCTGTTAGAGCAGATGACTTCCAGCACCTGCTGGAAGAGTCCTTCAGTAGCACAGGAGCAAGTAAAGTGCTCCTTCACAGCATCTCATTGAGTGGTTGAGAGTTTCCTTTTGTGAGGACTGGAGTTACAGACTGACCCAAGGGACAGGTCCTCGTGTTCTTCTATGCACTTTTTTCTGGGACATTAGAAAATGTGTCCTTGTTTGGGCTGGTCCAAGGACTTGAACAAACTCCCTGAAAAAATATTTGGTTTTGCAACTCTTTCTAAAGTTATTTGTGGTCTAATTAAAAGCACAAAAACTCTTCAAGAATGACAAACTTGATAAGAAAAGTTCATTTTTTCCGGCCTAAGGAAAAACTGCTTATGTGTTAGGGAAGGGCAGTAATGGTAATGGGTAAGGAGATGTTACAAATTTCTCAATAAATGCAGTCTACTGAACTCCAGAGTGTCTCATCCTTCACACCACAGTGTCCCCTGCTGAGGGACTGCTGACATGTCCCGTGGCCGTGATCAGTCTCATTCTGCAGCAGGATGCCTCCTGCTCTCCAGGGATCAGGAAGGAAAGGCAGTGGCCAGCTGTGTTGGAGGGGGAGACATTCTGCTCCACATATCCTAATGCTTTGGGCCACACTGTTAGCAGAGTGTGTATTTGTATACATACCCAGGCCATCATCTTCTCTGAGTCTTGCTTAAGAAACAGGTGAAAGGCTGTGGATAACCAGCTGTTCCACTGTGCTGCTGGATTTGTGCAGAAGTCTTGATTAGAGCACTGGACTTACTGCATTGTATTTAACTGTCTTTACTGTTGATGTGAAGCCAGCCTTGCGAGAGTTTCTTTTAGGATATTATTCCAGTTGTGGGGAAGACTGAAACTAAATGTTTTTAAGTATAGTGGCATGGATGCAGCTTTTCAGTGGTGAAGGAGCTTTTGTATCTTCAAGTAACAAGCCAAAATACCCCGTGTCACACTCTCAAAATAACTGGACCTGACAGGCAGTGCTACAGACTGAGTGGCAGAGAAAGTAGGTTTACAGCAAGGGCAAGGGTTTGGGCTGACTGTGTCAGTCTCACAGTCAGGTAATTACAAACACATTCCTGCCAGGGTCACAGCTCCACTGTTGACATGTTTGACCTTGAGGAAAAACTAGTATTCAATTTCTCACAAGTATTTTATATTGAAGACAGCTCAGCCTTGAATGATACTTAATGTCTGAGCAACAGCTGTAGTAGTAGATTAATTTCCCTGCTCTGAGCAGGAGGTTAGACTAGGTGACAGCCTCAGGTCCCACTCAGTCTGCATTACTTGCAGCAACACTAAAACAATTTCAACAGTGGTGGTTTGGGTCAGAAAAAAAAAATTGGGGATTTAAACTGGTTTGTCTGGTTTCAGGGCAACTTTCTCTTTTATTACACTCTTATTCAGCATTCTGAAAAACTCTTAAGCCAAACACATAACTCCATTTATTTTATTCAAATTCACAGAAGATATTTATAGAACTGTAAATGGCTTCAACACCTTCTCAAAATACAACACGTCAGAGGCCAATCTGACAGAATGGCTTGCATCCCAATTAACACTTAAGTACAAGGCAGGACAGAGCTATCCAGCTACTGAACAAAGGCTCCAGAAAGCTTGGATTGGCTTACTGCTGTAGACATGGCTCAGGAGTCAGATTTACAGTGACTTGGACAATTTTTACAGTAAGCCACAGACTGTTTAGTAGCTGTCATACCCTGTTCCTGGAGCCTCTTCTAAACCTGAAACATTGAAGAAAAGTGAAAGGCAAAAGGGTTAATCTCAGGTGGGACAGATGCCACAGGAAAATGGGAGGGATTGGCTGAATGCCCATGTGGCACCCAACCTCTGCTTTTGTCTTCAGTCTCTTAAGAAAATGGGGGAACATATCCAATGTCCACAGTGATCTTGGTATAAAGAGGATGCTTAGTCCTGGAAAGGAGCCTGAACTGTAATGTATTCATTCCATCAGCTTTCCATGTTTTTCTGGTGTTGTGCTGGGAAGGAGGCCTGAGGGAGGAAGAATACCTGCAGTTAGAAGAAAGAAGGTAACATTTGCAGCTGAAGCTGCAGAAGAAAGAGTCTTCCAGAGGGCAGAAAAGCCCTGAGACAATTCTTCCCACGATACAGACTGAACAGATTAGAGTGAGTTGACACTGAGTATTCCAAACAAGGAGGACAGTTTGGACTGGACCGTGATCAGAGAGGAGCCCAGCGACGTGGCAGCTAGAGTCTCCAAAAACCAAGAAGCTGTCAGCAGCTTACAGAGAGCTGGGAGTGCAACGCAGAACTTTGCAGCCACGGTGTACACAGGCTGCTGTAGGTAGGTTTTTGACAGGGTTGTTATGGAAACCTGAGTTTTGAGATGATAAAGAGAAATCTGCACTGCTGGTATGAGAAGCCTCCACCACACTTGACCCAACACCCTCCTCCAGCTCTTCTATATAAAACAGTCTTTGATCAAGTCTCTCATAGCACCTTTCTCATGTCTTCAAACTAGAATATTGCTTTTCACTATTTTAATGGTATGTTGTAATTCCACACAGACTGAACAGCCAGCTTTTAATATTGGGGACTTGCAACACAGTGCCTCTTCAAACTGAAATCTCCCTATTTATAAGACAGACAGTATTTTTTTCTTTAAGTTTTACTCCCTGTATAATTTCATGTTTAAATCTATGTGTTACCTTCCTAGCTGGCATGTGTCCTTCACAATAGGAAGAAAAGGCAGGAAACTAGGAGAAACCCTTCAAATGTGAAGACAGGAGCCAAATGATTCAGTTGAAACTGACTGGGGGCTGCTTTTAAATAGCCTTCCTAAAGCAGAAAAAGCAGCAGTGACATGAGGCACACGTAGCCTGTGCTGGGGAAGATGACAGCAACAGCCAACCTGCCCCCAGCCCCAGCAGGTACCTCCTCCAAGGCTCTTGGATCTCTGTCTCTTCATTGTAGTCCATCACTCGGTAGCGGCCAAGGTGAGGTGATGTCCGGACTATTTTCATTCCTGCCAAGTAAATCCTTTAAAACAACACACGAAAGTGTTTGCTTAGGCACAGAGATGCCACTTCCAGGTTTATGGTCACAGATGATTTTCAGTGCTAATGCAATAAAAACAAAGTGCAGAAGCAGCACAGGGCCACACGACCTTCTCTAGCAGGTTCTAGGCCAGGCTTGGTCTAGAAAGCTCCCAGCTGCAGTGCACAGGGGATTAGAGCAAGCAGGGAATGAACTACAACATACAGAGCATTCAAGAGCAGTTCCCCTGAATCCGAGCATTATTCCACTTCCTCCTAAGAGCAGAGATTTGCTGCCTAGAGGTCCATCACCTAAACTTTAAGGAGAAAAAAAAAAAGACCTCAAACTTGCAGTTTCTGAAAGGAAGCCAGTCCTGAGTTTCAAAACCAGATTAAGCCTCTCTGTTCTTTGAGAAGTGCCATTCATTCAGATGGCCTGATTAGACTGGTTCATAAAAGATTAGGGGTAAATACAGGCACCAGACAAACATATGTAAACTCAGCTGCAGTACAGTTAGATAAGAGAAGAGGGACTGAAGGCTCAGAATTCAAGAACAGAGCTTCTAAGCCCAGCACTTTGGGTGACTTTCAAGCAACTCACAGCCCGCTGCTGATAGCAGCTACGTTACTTTGCCAATAAAAAGTGCCTTCAATAGTGCTAGGGCTACCAAATCTCTGTTATCACAGGACAGCCCTTAGGCAGAGAAAATTCCTGTCAATGTAAGAACGAATGTTTGCTCCATTGAGGTTATCTAACTGGCATGTGTGCAGCATTTGACTGCATTCCATCAGGATCTGATACAGCAGGAATGTTATAAAGCTGAAAGGCTACAGAACTGAAAATATTTGTTAGGCTAGAGCCATCAGATGATTATAACACTTCACTGACAGTGTTGTAGTTCCATTATTTCACATGGAGTTTTAGACAAGTTTCTTGTTTTCTGAACATAAGCTTATGGCACATTCAATCATAAAGAGACAAAAAAGCAAGAGCACTAAACTAGCTTTGCTGTTACAAAAAGTTTTTTTGCATTGCAAATAAGACTAAAACTGAATAGTTAATACATTCATTTACTGTTAAGAAGAGTCCAAGAGACTTTCCTGTAGTTGAAAATGTTAACACATGAGTGGCTCCAATTAGAACAGTGTTTACTTCTAATAGAAGGTAGATCCTGGTATTTGCTGCAACTTGTATCACAGTACTGCAGTCTGGTGACTACAAGTAGCAGCTGGCAGTTTTTTTCATTAACTCTGCTTTTAATAAGCAGTATCCCAGAAAAAAATCATCTTTGCACAGAATTTTTTAAAACTGGACATTAAAATGTCAAAAAAAATTATTCATTAATTTTTTTGCTACATGGCAAAAAGTGCTTGAGCACCTCCTAAAATCCAGATCCCAGCTGGTCATTGAAGAACAGCCAGTTCATTCCGAACTTCTGCAGGCTGAGACTTCAGAATGTGAATAAATCATTAACAGGCATTGTCCACAGCCTCCATGTATCTCTGGGCCAAAACACTGCTAATCATTAGTGTAAGTTTTCTCTGAAAACATAGGCTCTAATTTCCTTCCAGAAAGGGCTATTCTGGGAGCTATAGAATTCACTTGCCTTCCAGGATTCTCTTCAAAGAAGTGCACTCCTATGCATAACTGGCATGACTCTACCCTGGGTACCAAAAACCAAATTAGATGCCTAAGCTATACTAAGAACAGCTGAATAGACCCAGCATTGTAGTACTTGATGTAAAGATCTATTTTCCTGGCATTCTATTCCTTTCATAAATGCTGACTCTCTAAACAACTGTACAACCTTTTAGTTGGCTTTCTCTGAAAGGCAAAGGAGGAATTCTATATTAAAAAATCTGGCTTTCAATTCCCAGATGAATGCTGCTTTGAAAAAACCCTGTAACTTGTCACATTATGCAAGACAAAAATAACAAAGGCTTCCATGGTCAGTTTAGTTTTATAAACTCCCCGTGAGCCTGCCTCAGTGCAGGATCATAAAGGTGCACAGTGCAATTCCAAAGCTGAATAAAGAAGCTGCAGCCATGATTCTGTACTTGAAGAATTCACATTAGGCAGAGCACCTGGAACTAAACTCATCTATAGAATGCTGCTGCCATGGCAACCAAAGTACAAGAAAAACCATCAACTCTTGCTGTCACTGACTCACACTGGTACACAGGCTCCTCCATCACCCAGCACTGCAGACAAAAGGTAGAATTTCTCTTGCTCCTTAATCCCAAGTATCAGTGATTAGGTAACACTTGGAGCAGCCTAAATGCACTTAACTTAAACTGCCAACTGTCTGAGAATTAGTTAAGTACCTTCTTATTCCTCAAGCTTGCAGATTCCTTCCCTCCCTTGGGGCTGTCAACATCACTGGAGGCACTTGTCAACCACAAGT